TTCAGATTGAAACATGAAAGGTTCTTCGGCCAGCCTCTGTGGTTTGGGGTCATTATACTGACATTTTACTCTATGGTTGATCAAACCTTTCAACCTTCCACAGATTAGATTTAAACTCTAAAATGATAATACTGCCCCCTAAAGTGCTCAACTGTGGCGTTATGTGTATATTCAGTATATATACATATCACATTTTAGCTCTGCCGTCACAGACTCGCGTAGATGTGATTTGAAGAGGCAGAAAACGTTGGTGTTCCGGTGGCACAGCAGGCAGCACAGATCCAGGATCAATAAAAAACTGCTACAACATTCCATCAAAGTCTTCTGGAATACCTGAACCCAAGAAGAGGATGTGTGGGAATTCCTCACCGAGGAACGAGAAAGAAAATACAACTGTAACTGAGACACATCTCTACATTGCAACGTCGTTAATTTGTAAAAAACGACGATTGTGTTGAAGTGTGTATCATATCCCCAGATTCTTGCCAATTTACAAAACAAAAAAAAACTGTTTTCTACAACAGAGAAATATTGCATAGACGAGAGTAAAGGGGGAAAAATAATAAAAAAATTGAGCCTTCTAGGAAAAAAAGGATTTGTCATGTTTTTCACGTTGCAGTTATCGAGGCACGACCTCAGCAATTCCGAGCTGTCAAAATTGTCCAGGAAGACATCGTTGCTTAAGGCCCTGAGTGAGTCTCTTTTGTCGAGTGTAGCTGGTAAATTGCCTCTAAAGTAGCGAATTACCCCGTAACGTGTCAGACAGCGGAAGCCCAGCAGGCACAGAGGCGGGGGTTTTCTGTAGTTTTGCTGTGACGACTGGTTCAACAGACGTCTAGGTTCAAATCCCACGGCTCTATGTTTAAATCGGTTTTAATTACTGCTGGAGTTTCTAACGGTTGAAGTGTATGTTATCTGTCATATACATCAGGAGGATATACTAACCATCTATCCTAATGTCAATCAGATTACCACCTGTACAACTACGGGGGGGGGGGGGCTGTGCCAAAAGGGGTACATACACCATAGTTTGAGACCCATTTGGGTTTTAGAAAGCTGAGGTCAAGTCAACAGTGTGTGGGTTAGGTCACTCTCCTGCGGTAGGGCTCGGCAGCTGCTGGGCCGTCAGTGGGTTTGTTCTGGACGGACACTGTCCAGAGCGTTTTCATGTGACAGCCCTGGATTGTGTACCATGGACCAGGATGCTGGAAACCAACACACGGCAGCTGCGGCTCCTCGGCGCGGTCTGCGGCGTGTCTCCTTCTAATTAACACATCGACGCAACAAAAGTTCCAGAGCGGCTGTCATTTGTGTATATGAACCGATAACCGTGGCTGCTTCAACCGACACCGCGTAGACACAGAGCGGACCGAAGCCTGGATCCATGTCGACTCTCTCTGTCTCTCTCTCGTCCTCTCTCTCTCTCTCTCTCTTTCTCATTCGCCTGGGATACTTGGAATATTTATTTACAGTGATGGAGGTTTGGAAGGGTTTTTTTCAAGGTCATCGCGTCTTTTACGGATGTATTTCACGGTCTGTTATTTAAACCACCACGTCGATCAGCGCTGGTGACAGCGGGGATGACAGTGATCGGATGATTTGAAGACAGCGGCGGCGTCAGTCTGAAACCGTTAGACCACGGATCATCATTTTTATTACAGTTCTGGTTTTAAACTACCAACTCCTTGTCAACACATGGACGGGCAACTGAAGAAGGGCAGGAGATTGCGCTCCAGACGAGAGCGAGTGTGCAGGCTGCGGAATTCTCTGGTCATAGATGCCCAAAGCCCAAACTCCTCCTGCTCCGACAGCCAGCGGCGGCACAGTCCGGGGAGGGACATCGCCTCCGTGCCCGATAAGAAGCACTGCGCAGCCGCCGCTCGAGCTCCGCGGCGGAAGAGGAGAGGGTCGAGCTCGCAGGAGGAGGACATCATTGATGGGTTCGCCATCGTCAGTTTCTTCAGCCTGGACCGTCTTCAGGTGAGAGGCTTGAGAGGTTTGAGCTCCCGCCGTCACAGACTTTATGGTGCTCAGTTAGGTCCCGCCCCCCGGAAAAAAAAAGTTTCAGTTCACGTAAACTGACTTCTTGGTTTTTAGAGTCTAATATTACGGTTTTCCTTGAAGCAAGCAACAAAGTACCGTGAACCTAAGAGATCAAAATGTCAACTGTTAAGATTACTGAAAAATGACTTTCAAATTTGCAAATATGGATTTAAAAACAATCATTCAAATAATTGAAAAACTAAACAATTCAAACCTATGACCATAGTTTGGAGTAAAGAATTAGCCTAATACCCCAAATTGGTCCTTGGACTGTGTAAAGAGGTTGCGGTACCTCAACGTTCCCACCCCCATTCAGAGTGTGAAACCGGAAGGATGTAAAATAACATTAATCACAGAGGGAAGTATAAGAAAATAGCTGTCTAAGCTATCTAAAAAAATAGTAAAAAAAAAAAAACACGGCAATAACAGTAGCAAGAAAAGGGCAACAGGTGTTTAACCGCGGCCCTTCCGATACTTCCCCCAGTGTTACAGGAGGAGGCATATATTCTTCCTTCTTAGTTAAGAGAAAGATGTGACTAAATATGGTGAAGTCTGCTGTTTCTGTTCAGATGGTTCTGATTTGTTGGTATATTTTTTTATCTTGTTTTGTTTTTCTTTTGGGTGTTACTGCCCACTGGACTCAATTATTCTGTTTGACTGTTCAGATCTCATTTTAAGAAACTGTTCGTAGTGCTGGGGTTAATGTTAATGCCACATTAACATTGTCTTCAAGGCAACATGTTGCGTTTGAGGTCTCACTGTGGAAATGTCACCCCTGCTGGGATTAAACATGAATTGGATATACACGCCGCTCAGGTACTTTGTACCCACACAGGTCACGTTATATTTGAAGGTGATGACCACCAAAGATGCTATTTTTGGAGATGGTGACCTCATTTAAAAGCTCATCCCTCATACACCAGGCACCTCATACAGCTGTGGCAGTGGCATTACTCACTCCTCCACGTGTATATATACACACACACACATATATATATATATATATATATATATATTTCAGTAGATATATTAAAGTCATTGTTCAAACATAGAAATGTTCAACGCCTCTGTTTGTCAAGTAATAAAAAAAAAAAGACTGAGAGCTGATCTAAATGTAATGAAAAATGTTTGATGTTATTAGAACATACGTGTCAAACTCAAGGCCTGGGGGGCCAAATGTGGCCCGACAAGCTGTTTTGTGTGGCCTGCGGGAGCTTAAAAAGAGTTTCTTAACCTGAGAAGTTAAACGTTTTTATAATCATTCAACCAATAATCCTTTGCAGAAACATGTATTAGTCTGTTATGAAATAGTTACAACCTATACCAGCGGTCCCCGACCTTTTATGTTCCAAGGACTGGTCAACCAGTACCAACCGTTACTACAGACAGTAGTAGAGTGTTGAAGGATTATCAAATGTTAGACACTTTTCTGTTTGTATCAGATTGAATGACCTGTTATATAAATGCTAAGTAAATGGATATGACTGGATTTTCTTTGAATTAAGTAAATTTGTAAAAATTAAGTACATTTTTTGTGACCCACTGTGGCCTGGTACCAAATGACCTATGAATTGGTACTGGTCCCGCGGCCCTTCAAGGGGAACTGTATAGCTGATGTGGCCCCCTGGTGGAAATGAGTTTGACACCCCTGGATTAAAGAAAAGTACCTCAGAGAGCAGAGCCTATACTGAAACCCACTAACAGCAGAAACATTGATAGTACACAGCACAAAAATACTACAACACAGCTGTTACCTCTTAGCTTCAGGTACTTATGTTTCAAGGCTGAGCAAATGAACCATAATGTGAAATGATACTCATACGACAGCTACTTACGTAAAACAATGAAATTTGCATTCAAATAGAATTGTTGACGTCTCCATTACAATAAAATGAGGGACTGTGGCGAGGCCGCCCCCCCCCCCCCCGCTCCTTTACTACCATTTCTTCTACATGTAATAAGGAAACGAATAAATTATTTATTTTATGAAGTGCTTAGTATAAATGAAGGCAATATTCACATCTAGAATCACTTGCTTCTCCTGTGGTCTGCTGCTTCTTTTTCCATGTTACCACAGCGTCTAAATGTCATTGAAAGAGACCAACAGTGTGACGTAATAGCGATATAATTGTTAAAGATGTGTATGAAAAAAAAATGACTTTATTTATTGTAGATCTACGTGTTTCTCTATGGCAGGATAAACAGCAGAAAGTCCCGACTGGTGTTAGGAAGCTTTGACTAGGGAACCAGGCAGTGTTGGCTGCCTGCTAACAGCCTAACATCTGCTGAGAGCAGGAAGCATTCGAGGGATAATTAAAATGAATGACTTCAAACTCATTACCCAGGCCCCATTGCTGAGCAGCAACAAGCTGTTTAACAAGATGGACGGCAATTATTTGGGGAGTTGAAAAGACAATACAACCATCACACCAACTAAGAGAGACAAGATAGATGATAGATGATAGATGGATGGATGGATGGATGGATACTGTAGATAGATAGATAGATAGATAGATAGATAGATAGATAGATAGATGGACAGATAAATAGATAGACAGATAAATAGATAGATAGATAGGTAGATAGAGAGATAGATAGAGAGATAGATAGATAAATAGATAGATGATAGATAGATAGATTTGGTTTTTTTTTAAGGTGAAAAGGTCACAGAGAAGACAGTACCTTCAGTTTCAAAATAAAAGACTGTTCCATTTACTGTACTACTTAAAGTACAGCTATATCAACACAGCTGATTCTCACCTGAGCATAAACTCATTTTAACTACAAAACATCACCAATAAATGATGGTGTTATTAGTATAAAAGTCCAAATCATCTGGTGGGAATTCGTACGCAATCCCATTTTGATTGAAAAAAAATTTCCTTAAGTGTAAGTTTCTGTTCCCTTTTCCAGTAAAATCTTTAATTTCCTGAAGGGAACTTCCGCGGGATTAATACATTTCCTTCTTTCTGCTGACAGAAAAATAATCAGTTTTTGAGAGCTACCTTTGAAGGCATCGTTTTAAAGGGCCTATTCAGTACCAGGAGCTTTGCGATATCACATTTCTGTGATACACTGCAGTCTTTTGTCCAAACTTTTCCTCAGTAGTCACACACACAGTAGATAGCCCTAAAACTATAACACATGATTTAACATTTCATTACACCGCGCCCTTCACCAACCACGTTTTTGTCTTCATAAGTAAAGCAGTACTGAATAAACAGTACACGGGTACTCAGAGCAGAGCACTGATTTTTTACTGCAAAGAGAAACCAAAGGTCTTTTGTTAAGCTGCTATGTGTAATTATTTAACAGTGGCACAATTACCTGTTCTTGGCACACAGTGAGACTAAGGGTGACTGCACACCGGCATCAAAGTCTTCTACTGGAGTAAGAAGAACAACACCTGCTACAAACTGCTGCCCATAGACAAGGAGAATCACAGCACAGTGGTTCCCTGGACATTGTCTACAGACTGAGGATGTATCTATGAGCAAAACAGCTGTCTATAGTCGCTAAGCTAAGGCCGTACGAGTGTAGCATACCAGTACATAAAGATAATTTGTTATTGTGCTTAATGGCGGTGAGTGTTTTTCTCCAAGGTTCCACCACAGAAGATTTGGCACAAGGTTAATTTTTAATTGCTCTTAACATGACATAATAAACATCATAAAATCTCTCCCTGTCAATTACTAAACATTAACGATACTGAGTCAACGTCTGTAAATCATTCCACCCGTGACTTGGTCATTTTGTTTGCCAACAGCTTTAAATTCCACTCGCTTGTTAACACGCTCCTAATTATGAAACCACAATTAACATTAAAATAACAAACAACGTTCAACATAGCAATTAAAAAAAAGATTAAAAAGATGAGTGTGAGTGACTTCCTGCTCGAGTATGTGGAAATGATAACTCCAAGATTGCTTTTGTGTGACATATTCCCTAAATTATTTCTTGATTTTCATTTGCCTACCTTTTTAAATGATATATTTTATTATTATTATTACTTAATGACATGTTATTCTCAGCATGTGATGCATGATTCTGTTAATATGCTACAGTAACAGTATACAGTATAGGACCTAGAGAAAAAGCCAACCACAAAAACAGACACTGTAGTCTATACGTGTCAAACTCAAGGCCGGGGGGCCAAATGTGGCCCGCAAAGCCGTTCTGTGTGGCCCGCGGGAATAGGCGACCAGATTGAAAAATCGTTAGGTTAAAATTTTTATTACTTCAATTATTATTATTATTATTATTATTATTATTATTATTATTATTATTATTATTATTATTATTATTATTATTATTATTATTATTATTATTATTATTAATTATTACAATTCTTTTTACTTCAATGCTGACGAAGACAAAAACGCCAAAACTAAGAGACTACAGGTTATAAAGATATATAGATACAGATAATACACATATCGTTTTACAAATCCATTTCGTGTTCAATTGTTATGTCACAGTTAACAAGTTACAGGCCCTAGTTTGACGCAGCTTCTCACCCTACAATTCGACCTGATGAAGCAGAAAATTGCTGTGCACAGAAGCGAGTTCACTGGAAAGATCGTTTTGTAGCTATCAACTGATATGCTTTCCCTCCACAGTTAATAATGTGAACAAATGGATCTTTTTACAAAATGACTCAGCACTCAAGTGATCTAGTGTCAGGAAGTGCTGTCAAATAGACTCTTAGTCTGGAATGATTTTACCCTTGATTAACAGGATGATTCAGCCTTAAATTGTTGTGCTGGGTTGGTGTCCAATTTTTTTTTTTTTTTTTTTTTTTTTGTATTTCTGAAAAAGCCAGGTGCTCTGGGAGGGTTTTCTGTGAAAGGAACAAAGAGGGAAGTTTACATCTAAATATCTTGGCCTAAAATAACCCCAACCATCCAGAGCTAGTTTAAAAAGGCTGCTGTTTCTCTATGTGCCCACCAGAGCGTGAGCAGAAAATGTCTTATCACGTCCGCTGTCGTCACCAAGACCTTCTGAGATACAGTAGATTGGATTCAGGTTCTGTCTGTGGGTTCTATCCTTCAGCTCAGAAAGACGACTTCATTTCAACTTGCTTACGTGTTGTACTGGCAGCTTGGCACCCAAACAACAACAACAACAACAACAAAAATCAGAGACAGGAGCTATTGACAGACGGATGCCTCCAACACACTGGTAAACACTGGGCTCTTTCTTCACATTCACCTACAGACTGGCAGGCACATGGCTAACATGAGCAGGGAACATACAAGAAACTTGACTGGAGCAGTTGTCCTTAATCGGAGCTGTCACAAACACAACACAATGACTCTGTGATTACACACAGTATCAAAGCTATGTCCAGGATTCATGCCAATGTGTGTGTGTGTGTGCGTGGTTAGGCAATCAAACCCATAAAAAGTGACTTCATCAGTTTGTCTGGCAGGGTGTGAGTCACTATGATGGACGGAAACAAATCAGTGTGGAAGGGTCACTCAGCTTAAATAAAACTACCTGCAGTACTGCGTTTTAAAAACGTCAGTGAGGCTTGCTAAATGATACACGGGATTTTATCAACCGCTTAAAATACACCAGTACAACAATAGTACAAACAGCAGGAGGAGAAGGAGGTAAAGTCAGTAGTGATGGAGGCATAGAGATCATCTCAAGATCAACTGAAGTATTGTTAGGATTTTTCTGTATTATTGTGCTAAAGCTGTGGCGCTTTGTCATTGGTGTGGAACCCCAGGGTTCACCTCCTGGGAAAGATCGAATTCCAGTTAGGGCGGTTGGTAACTTCCAGTGGACTCACCACCTGCAGGAAGGTTCGGGGGGGTGGGTACGGCGCAGTGTGATTTGGGTGGCGACTGCTGCCCCCGTGACCTGGTAACAGATAAGCGGATGAAAATGGATGGATGGATGGATGTGCTAAAGCTACAAAAATGCTACATGTTATGCTATTGCTGTTCATATTGGCATGAAACTAAGTATGTAATTATGTGGTACTCTAATGAATTATTTGTGTATTTCTACTTGATACTGAATCGACATCGAAGCATTTAGGTCAATATCAAACTTATCCGACGGCAAAATGAATCATGAGATTCTTAACAATACCAAGCCCTAACTTGAAATATTAAAATGTCGAGGAGTTAAAGTGATCAGATGTCTCGAGTGTCTCTTAGTAACCGTTTCTGAGTCTGCCTAGAGGGGAGGCTGTGGGAGGATAAATGGATGTGGTTAAGAGTGGTTCCTCGGAGAGTCACTGAAGATATATGTTCACTTCATTTGTTGGCCTTTGTGTTAAGTGTTTGTGTGTGTGATGGAGAGCCTACTTAACACTGAAGGGTGAGTGCATTCCCTCTATAAAGACACAAACGGGGGTCAGCTGAGGCCGTGGGGTTGGACTCATACACCCAGACACGCAGCTGCTGTCAGACACACAGTAAGCAGACAGTAATTCCACAGCGCATTGACTCACCGCTCTGTGTTTAATGCTCCGCGGAACGTCTGAAAACTTCCTGGCACCGTGAGAGATTTAAACGCCGCCTCTGTGTGAAGGTGATTTTTACACCAAGAGCGAAACTCCTCGCAGTCAGTTTCTAGTGAAAATAATTCTAGACTAAGAGACAACAAAGTGTAAAAACAAAAAGTCTTTCTGAATCGTGTTTTTAATACAGCTTTTTACAGGACGAACCTGAAGGGGGCCAGGGGGTATAACTAAACGGTTTGTTTGTATTTGCTTTGTTTTTCTTACACGTATATTTTCATATCTTTTTTTTGTTAATCTTTTTCCGTCACTATTTGAAAGGACACTGACATTGTACTGTTTGCTGTTTGCAAGCAAGCTGAACATTTCGTGTGATTTGTGCAAATTGGTACTTTACAGTACTAGCAAAATCAACAAACAAATCCCAGAACCCTTTATCCCGGAATATATTGTCAGTTGAAAGACCTTATTTCTTTGGTATACTGACCTGTTGTACAGGTTTATGGAAATGTGAATACTGTTGGTCACTCTTGCCAAGAGTGGCGCTTTGGCCCAGAGGCAATGTCTCTGTCATTGGTGTGGAACCCCAGGGTTCACCTCCTGGGCAAGTTCGAATCCCGGTTAGGGCGGTTGGTACCTTCCAGTGGACTCACCACCCGCAGGAAGGTTTGGTACGGTGCAATGTGATTTGGGTGGCGACTGCTGCCCCCGCGACCCGGTAACGGATAAGCGGATGAAAATGGATGGATGGATGGACTCTTGCCAAGAAATCTAATACTGGAAATGCGGAAAAAAGTGTAATACAAAAACAAATATATATATATATATATATACTTATATATATTTATATATATTTAAAGTATAAATATGTATATTAATAATATAATATGTAATAAAATAAAATATATAATATTATATTATATAAAAAATATAAAATTAATAATAAAAAAACACATTTTCTAATAGGTAATAAAGATTGGGGATGGTTTAAAAGAAATGTTTACAATAACAATATTTACCATGCATTCTTTTTTCTGTCTGCAGAAGAAGAGCAGATTTGGGAAGACCAGGGTGAAGAAGGAAAGGTGGAAGGACAAGAAGAAGGCACAGCAGCAGAAGAAGGAAGAGGAGGAAATTAAGGATGAAAATGAAAATGTCCAGCCGGCGGAGGATCCCCTGGAGGATGGTTTCCTTCGTCATGTTCAGCGTGAGCAGGAGAGGATTAATGAGCGACTGCTGAAGAAGACCTACTCCAAAAAGAACAAAATGGTATTTCCTTTTTCTTTTTAATATTCTTTCATTTTCTATGTTTTATTTTTTGGAATGTAGGCAACAAGTAGTTGGACAAATTTTGTGACTTAATCATTTGCTGATTTGGGAATTGAGGGAATGTAAATTTCAATTAATTCAATCGATAAACATTTCATATGAGATTGAAGGAGGCCTGAAAACATCATGACAAATGGAAGATGGTTATGGTGGAGCCTTCAGTAGGTCAGCGTGTACGTCAGCGTGTTAATGTGTCACGTGATTCATCAACTGAAATGATCCAGAGAAGCTTCAAACAAACAAACAAACAAACAAACCGAGCCTCAGTTGAAGTTTTTGAAGCAGCTTGATCTGAAGAACAGTTTTCATTCACTCTCTACACTGTTTTACCGTAATACAACACTGCCACCTAGTGCATCATATAGTCATCGCACCTTTTTGAGAGAGTCGGTAATGGTTTTTTTTTGCTTCAATCAGATTGCATCTGATTGTCCACTAGGGGTCACTGCTTGCATGGAGTCGAGGCCTTTTCGGACTCTCTCTTACGTCAGAGGTTCTCCACCTTTTCCAGTGATGAAACTCCCTGCACTGATGGCTGTAAAAAAAAAAAGAACATTTATTCTGGTCTCTCTATGGAAACAATAACTACAAAAGAATGAGTCAGTAATAGTTTTAAAAAAAATTCTCATTTCAAACAGATCAAACCTCTGCAGTTTTATTGACACATCATTGACTGACGTTGTCTAAAACCTGAGCAACTACATGACTCGTGGAGTCAACTGTTGATGTTGTATGATGTCTGTGGGCGTGTCTAGGATGACAGCTGATAAGGGGTCCGTGGTCCTTTGAGGGAAAAGATCGGGAGGGTGGCGCATGTAAAAAAAAAACAAAACCCCACAATGACTGTGTGTGTGTATCGGATGATGTTGGAGAAACCATATGTAAAACAAACAGAGGGTGTAGGCGTAATTTGATGGGGGTGGGGGTGATGGGGGTGTTAAGTAGGATTGCCTTTGAACCACAGGTTTTGTACAGCCCAAGGCTGAATGTTGATGGTGGTGTTGACCTAACCCACTGTGAGAGTCCCTGTGGAGCTGGATCCAGATGGAGAGTGTGGGTTTTTTTCTTTTGGTTTTTTTTTTTGTAGTCGGTTCTGTGGGGAGAGAAAAGGCCATGGTTCAATGCCTGGTCTCTGAGCAGCAAGAGAGGAACCAGAGCATCAATCAATTAAAAAAAAACCTCTGAAGTCAAAGCTGCATATATTGTAGTATGATGTTTGTCTGCAATGATCACTCCCTGTCTTTGACCTCTAGAGGGTGATAAGTCCACATTAAATGCCCTGTACCCCGACTCAAATATACAGTTGTTGTGTATTGTTTTAGATACAGTCAGGGAAACTGACTGTGTCTTATGCTCCAAGGAAAAAGAAAAACACGTAGGCTAGTTGCTAGCTTGTATTTTGTCTTTATCAACATGCTAGCACATAATGAATCAGCAGCCGGTTGGCTCTAAATCTCCCGAGTGTCATTGCTGCCACCTAATGGCCCTATTTTTCACAACTGTTCTATTTTCGTTACTGCTGTTACAGATTTAGCTTGTTGAATTTGACTTTTTTTGTGTGTGTACTTTCAGTAGTACTACAAATCTCTATTACTACTGATTGTCATTTTTATTCACGTGAGATAGATTTTGTCGTTGCCTTTGTGGCCATACAGACCGATTTATGTGGTGGTTATTATTTTATCGCCTCCTCACCTGATTTAACAGCGGCGTGTCCTTCATTAACACTGGTCTCCATCACGGTGTTGGCGACGAGCTGCGATGCGTTAAGAAGTTAAAGGCCAGGCCGGCGCGCGACACTGAGCTGCAGACGGAACACTGTCACCAATTAGCAGCGCGTTGTTACCATACTGATTGGATAATATCTGAGCAGCGCACTGAGCTGTGAACGTGTCGAGCAGGGTCACAGAGTCAAATTAGCCTGGTGGCTTCAGGTTTAATTATTCAGCTGCAAGTTGTCTATAATTGCTCTTCGTAGTGCACTTCCCCTCCCCCTGCAA